ACTGTGTTCGAAATTGTTTTGAAATAGGAAATATACTTTGTATATATCCTAGCAAAGATCTCAAAAAGATAGCTCAGCTTCCAGCCAACATTAGGAAAGCTGTTAAAAGATATATTGAAATCGTCAAGACAACAAATATATATCAGATTCCATTCAGCAACCATGGAATGGGATCCTATTCTTGAATATATGCATTCATCTTTCCATGTGATAAAAATGGGACTTACAAATCAACATTTTTTACCAACCAATCAAAAGGTTGTTAAAAATGGATATCAAGATATTCTAAATATGATGTCCTACAAAAAAGCAAAAGGGTACAAAGAGATATTTGAACATGTAACTCAGATAATCACCGAGAAAGAAAAAATATGGGTTTATCCATCTGAAAATCATGTTATCTATTCCAATGCAAGGATGGCTACCAAGGAAGAAGATATTTGTTATCTCGACCATTTATTATTTGCAATTATTTCCAAGCAAGTGCATGGATCAGAAGATATGGCTAAAGAACTATGCAAATTGCTCTGGAATTACAGTGATCACCATTGTGAATACTGTGTAGTTGAAGATATGAGCCAAGCATCTCTTAATTGTGAAGAATTCCCTGCAGAATTCTTTGATTCGAAAATGGAAAAGTGATGGTGACAAAAGTAACCCTTTATCACTACTTTAATAAAGAAATTTATTAAAGAAAAACTGTGGCTACTAAAAGACAGAAGATAGTGCAAGAAAAGTCTCCATAATTGTGACTATCCCCACCAATTGTTACAAGTAGCAGACAAACTCAAAAGATAAGATATCTAATTTCAAAAGGAGAGGTCCACTAGCAAGAAGATAATGGAAAAATTCGGTGGAGATAAGATGCTCTAGCTACCCAACAAAGAAAGGTGGAAAACGCCTGTCAAGATAAGGTTCCCAAAGGCTTCTATAAAAGGAGACAATGAGGAAGAAGGAGGATATCTCGAAATAGCTTATCTCTAAAACACTCAGAGGAAACACATCTTAGATAGATATTTTGTAATCTGTATACACCACTTGTATTCAGAAAAATATTAGATAGCTTGAAAATAGAAAAGCGTGTAATAAGGTAATCACTTATGGAGTTCAAACTTCATAAGGTGGGTACCAAAGGTATGTAAATATAGTTTGTAAGCATGTACAATTTCAATTTATGAATATCAAAGTAAAGTTTGTTATGTTCAACAAATCTTTCATAAAAGGATTTCGTTAAGTTTCTCATGATTCTTCGGCAGTACAGATAGAGATTTTAAAAGATTTTCAAAACTTTGATTTTGAATGGATGTTAGCCATGCCAAAGTACCCGTCTTTGATGAATGGTTTAGGGGAAAAAGACAGTTTTCTAACAAAATTTGTAGCACCTTGAGTGTGAGTTATCTTTTAAAATTCCGTTCCAAGTAAGAATTTCATTCTGAAGAGAGTTTGGATAGAAGTGAAAACAGAGATTCTGGATACTGTGAGATAGCGTCTGGGCAACACGGCTAGTTCTCTAGAGTGAGGAATGCAACCTTAATTGAAAAGCCTTTTGCGGAAGCAGTTGTGGACCCAAATAATTTCAAAAAACATTTTAAATCTTTACTTGATTCAGAAGATTGATTAAGTACATGCAAAGCATCTATAAGAGCATACTGGAGGGAAAGCCTGTTTATTTCCACTCGATTACTGTAAGTTATTTACTTATTTTTACATGCTCATACTTTAATTATTCTGATGAACAATTTACATGCATCCACTTCCACTACTAATAATGATAATAATCTCATATTATTTTTAGATGAAAAAGATGTTTCATTTTTACTTAAATTAGATGAAAAATCTAATGATATATTTCCTGTTGGTAAAGAAAAAATTGAAGAAATATATAGAGATAGAGATTATAATTGTAGAAATAATATAGGATTTGATTCTGTAGACACTAGTAGAGAAATAAGAAAGGTAGAAGATATCATAACCAAACATAGAAATATATAAGAAGAAATTTCAGAAGGATTAGTTCGAAGATATATAACCAAGAAAGGTCAACCTATAATCTTTGAAGAAATATCTAGATACAAAGAATATTTAAAGGTGTTCGAAATATTGAGAAATATAGATGTAGGTCCTATTTGATAAATCCTTAAAGATATAAGATACATCTTGCAAATAACTTTAGTAAGGGCAAAATAGTATTTTTAATTAAAGAGGCCATTGTGGAAAATAGGAACAATTTTCCAGCCTTTCTAAAAATTACCCTCTCTAAAATATCTACACAATCTAATTTATCTTTTGAGATACCCTTTTATTTTCTTCAAGTTATTCTACTTTTCTTCAGCGAAGCCATTATGGAAACCGTTTGCTCCCATTTTTTGTCCAATCGTTCCTAACCCTTTTGGAACACCTAATCTATGGTTAAAAATATGCAATTATATGATTGCCGAAGTCTTTGCACATTTCCAGTACACAGAGAGGGGTCAAAAGATGGTGGATCAAAGGATCACGTCACTGTTGAAGCGCAAAGCGTAATAAAGAAGAACTTTGTAATAGAGGAAAATGTTTTATGGTTGGAGTTCAATTTCAACCAAACCAATTAATTTCCAGCCAAACTCAACCAATAACGAGCAGTTATAAAATCAAGATGCAGAGACAGATTGTAATTACTCAAATTGAAGAAATATAAACTGAAATTACAAACTAGAACCAGTTTATGTCTAACCAAAATCAACCATTCATTCCTTTAATTGATGTTTCCATTACAATGCCTACTTACAAGTAAAAAACAAAATATAAAAGAGAAATAGATAGACCAGGAAAAAAAGGAAACAAAGAGATGGAGAACAGAATAACAGCAAGAAGAGAAGAGGAAGAAGAATACTAGGTAGAGGAGAAACGCTGCAGCAGACATATAAGAAGAAGAGAAGAAGAACAACAAAGGAAAGAGGAGAAACGGCTGAGAAGAGGAGAAGAAGAAGGATACCAGTGGAGAAATGGAGAACGGATTAAGAGTAGGAAGAGGAGAGGAAGAACCGAGAGAGAAGAAGAATACCAGAGAGGGCTGAGGGAGGAGAAAACGAGGGCAACAAGCCTGATACTTTTCAATTCCACCTTCATTGTTCTCAAGCTAAAACCATATATAGAATAAAACAAGGTTAAGGGCTTGGGCTAGCCCACTAATATAAGCTCTAAGATAAAATAAAACAAATGGTCCAATTGAGAAATTGAGTCCATGACAAAATGGTGTTAATAAAAAAAAAATGTTTTCGCTCATTTTTTGTTTACTGTATAATTTGTCTATAGAGCTCCGAGCTCATATTATTATTTTCTTTACTGATTTCCTTCTCAACCATCTTACTGGTTTGACGTTCTTCTATCCTTTTAATCTATGTTTCTGCATTTGCATTTTCTCTCAAGTAAGTTTCTCATTGTATTCATTTGTAAACCTCGAGTAGGTTTCTAGAGATGGTACCGATCGTTTACAGATTGTATTTTCATCTACTAGATGTATGAAAAATGGTGTGAACTTATAGATATATAAAAATTGTGGGGATAAATATATGAAAGTATTGAAAAAATTATGATGTGATCAGGGGCGGACCCAAGGGGGTCCCATAGGATCACTTGACCCTTCAGTTTTTCATTTTTTCTTAGTTTTGGGGCTCATTATGGAATATCAAACGAAATTGAAATATTATATTCTTAATATCATTTTAAAGTACTCACGGATTAATATTTCACGTCGTTAATATTGTGCAAAATGACTAATTATAGCAAATGTTACTACGCATCAAAGTAGGTCATTCCAAACTAATATTTCGATAACGAGCTAACTCTAAAAATTCTTCGATGATTATACGTTAGCCATATCCATAAATCTTCTATATCCTCTCAAAACTCATTTCAAGAACTATATTATAAGCATATCGAATGATCTAAATGAATATCGAAAATGGTTAAATGTACGTCAATCGTGTATGCTAAAAAGAGACGCATAACTCGTCTTTTTTGAAAAAAAAATTAATTATTTTATTAATATTTATTATTTTTGCGTGACAAATTTCTCAATATAATTTACATCATTTTATTAGAAAATTTTATATGTGGTATGACGTCAAAATTTTTTTTTGGATGTAACAATTCTTAATAAAAATTTTATTACTTCATAAGGGTTATAAATTGTTAAACTACTTTTTCATCTTGATTATTTTTATATTCAAAAAAAATTTATATATAAAAAAAATTGAATCATTTTTAGGATTTTTTTTTATTATTTTTACCTTTTCCTCTCAATCAATTTTTTTTTTCAAATGACGTCAAAATTTTTATTATAAAATTTATTAGATTATTTTGAAAAAATTAATTGATTGAGAGGAAAAAGTAACAATAATAATTAAAAAAAATCCTAAAAATGATCGAATTTTGTTTATATAAAACAAATTTTTAGATGTATTTTTTAAAAGTTTGATTGTAGCCCCCTAAAACAAAATGTCTGTGTCCGCCCCTAGATATGGTGGATATATAAGAATAGTGTGGATTTATAGTGTTTAAATGATTGAATTTAATATAGACAATATCAGAATTTGATGTGTATTAAAAAAATATATTTTTTAAAAATTTAAAGAGGATAGATATAGAGGGATAAATGTAACTTCTGTGAAGGTAAATAGTGTCCCCCTAAGATAAGGATAAGTTTTTGTGTACATAAAATATATACATAAGGATTCCACACCCCTACAACATCCATCGGGTTGGAGTCTCCTTTGAAATGGGTATGGGAAAAATTTTAAAAAGAATAAGTGAAGAATTTTATCAATTGCTTAAGGGGTTGTGTTTGATGTACATATAAAATATGCATACAGGGGTGGCTGCACCCGTATGTACGTATTTAGGCCCATCTAAGAATTGAGAAGTCGCGAATGGATGTCGAAATGTCCTCAAACGAGGCCCAACCCATTATGATTTTGATACCGAATCTGGACCTTCATAAAATTAGCACCCACCCCTTCTATCTCTCGCCCGCCTCATTTTCTAGGGTTTTGAATTGGGATAAACCCAGTAGCAGCAGACTCTCTCTCTCTAAAACTTTCTCCGGCTAAGGTTTTAATCATGAGCAGATCAGGCCAGCCTCCGGATCTCAAAAAGTAAGTTATCTTTTTTCTCGTAAAATGTATGGATCGTTGTCACAATTTTTGCACCTTATATACGTGTGTATTAATAGTAGTTACTTGTATAATAACTTTAGTTATTAATATATTTTTTGTTATCACAGGTATATGGACAAGAAGCTGCAAAGTAAGTTTTAACTGATTGTTTTATGTACGAATGCCGGGAAAAATATTCAATTGCAGTGAAGCATTATCATATTTCTTTGTGGCTGAAAAAGTGAAGAATTTTATCAATTACTTTAGGAGTTGTGTTTGGTGTACATATAAATTATATATATATGAGTGTCCACACCCGTATGTACATATTTAGGCCCATCTAAGAACTGAGAAGTCATCGCGCATGGATGTCGAATGTCCTCAAACGAGGCCCAACCCATTATGATTTTGATACTAGGGTTTTGAATTGCGATAAACCCAGTAGCAGCAGACTCTCTCTCTCTCTCTCTCTAAAACTTTCTCCGGCTAAGGTTTTAATCATGAGCAGATCAGGCCAGCCCCCGGATCTCAAAAAGTAAGTTATCTTTTTTCTCGTAAAATGTATGGATCTTTGTCACCATTTTTGCACCTTATATACGTGTGTATTAATAGTAATTACTTGTATAATAACTTTAGTTATTTAATATATTTTTTGTTATCACAGGTATATGGACAAGAAGCTGCAAAGTAAGTTTTAACTGATTGTTTTATGTACGAATGCCGGGAAAAATATTCAATTGCAGTGAAGCATTATCATATTTCTTTGTGGCTTTTAATTCCTTATATTTTTATCTGACTTGATGGTCTCTGTCTTAAATATCTAATGCTACGAGTGTTAATTTTTTAATAAATATTTTATATTTTATGTGACAAAGATATTTTCACTAATAAACACACTTCCAAGTTCCAAGCATTTGGTTTTCCTGGTAGCATTTGCTGAGAAAGTTTAAGGTAAGTTGAAAATTGAAATTGATTTAGAAATATCAATGGACATTTTCTTGAGCACGGGATATATATCTATGTAATTGACTTAAGAGAAAAATATTGTCTTGGGAATTAATTCAAGGAAGATTCTACCCATGTTCACATTATATGGCAGATTGATAGAGATAATGGTAGCTCATTGTTTTAGTCTAAAATTTTCATGATTTCATGTGCTCATCCGCCTCTTAATTGAGTAATCTAGAGTAACTGTAGAGAAGAATATATTCTCTCTCTCTCTCTCTCTCTCTCTCTCTCTCTTTTATCCTTTTCTTTTTTTCTCCCCATGTGTATAGTATATTCCTTTGTTACCCTTAGTTATTTAAGCACATGGAGGGCTGAGAAAGCTTAATAGAGTATTTAAATTTAATTTGTCATTAGGGATCATATACAAGAAAAATGAAAGCTTGGGGTAAAAATTGCACAAGGAAGTAAAAGTGTGAAGATGGGAACTGCAATTTTCCCAGGATATAAGCTTTTGAATGTATTTGCCAACTAAGGTTTTTTTTCATGGTTTCACATCTTTTGGGATGTTCCAGTTTTCCATGGCATGGGGCTTTAGCAGCGTAGGCTCAAAATTCTCTTTTTTAAAATTGATTGTCAATTTTACTCTTATGTTGTGTCAATATTAGGCTGAGTCTTCGTTACATACAACTATTTTAATGCTTTCAGAATTAGAAGGGTTCTAAGATAATTACACCAATCAATAGGACATAATTTGACATATATTTTGTATGGTGGCAAGTCATTGGTTTGTTTGGGCTGTGAAATCAGTCATAAGGAGAATCATTTCAATTTCGGTAATGAAATATAACATTGCTTGTAATTTAATGTAGTTTTATTAGTACATAAAAATTATTATTAGGAATTTAGAAATCTTCATTTAGTATGTTTCCATTGTTCCTGGTTCAACTTTTAAATAATAAATTCCAACATTTCCATATATAGGGGTTTTTGATTCCCATTTTTCTTAAAATACATTTTTCTCTATCTTCTTTTCAACCACATATTCTTCATTAAAATTATATTACACACAAATAAAAAATTTTCCTTCGTTTTTAACCACACATTTTCCTTCAATCTACTATTCTAAAATACATTCTTCAAAAAGAATGTGGCTCAAACACACCCAAAATATTTGCTTCTAAATATTCGGGACATCTCACAATACTATTATTGTATTAATGTGATTCCTTCTATAACTAGAAGAGTGGCAATTAGATTTCAATTTGTTCTATTTTTTCTGTCCATTATGGTATTAAGTTGTACATATATCTATTCATGTTTTGTTAGAAGCATCTGCAAATTATTGAAGGTTAATTATCTATAAATTTTCATACAATCCTCCTTTGTACACAGACAAGAAGCAGAAAGACATTCCCCCTGTAAATTCAATTGTTCTATTGTGCTCAACTCTGATATCTGCTAAAAATGGTAGACTACTAAGATATCCAGCAAATTATTTGCTTTAGGAGAATTGTCTTAGTATTATAATATCATTGTGTCTGTGCCTAGCCTCAATATAGTTAAATCACCATGTCCTTTTTCATATTGCTTAATAGAAATTCCCACCACCCATTCCAAGAAAAATTCACATGCTTCTTGTATCCATTTTGTAGCTGTTAAGCACCACATTTCTGTTTCATGGGGCTAATTTTATACTCTTGACTGTTTATTAAATATTTGGCATTTAACATTGCAGTCAAGCTGAATGCGAATCGGATGGTGGTTGGAACACTTCGTGGTTTTGATCAGTTTATGAACCTGGTGGTGGACAACACTGTTGAAGTGAATGGCAATGAGAAAAATGAAATTGGCATGGTGGTAAGCTTACTCACTAGTGATCTTTTGGAGTTCCTTTCATTGATCATTGATCCTTTTGATCAGGTCTAACTTGAGAATTTGGTTTTCCTTCTCGTTCTGCAGGTCATCAGGGGAAATAGTGTAGTCACTGTTGAGGCACTTGAACCTGTTAGTAGACCACAGTAATTGTAAATTTGCAGTGGTATGGATTCATGTAACTTGTAGTGGATTATGTCAGATTCTGAAGCTTTATGACACCAAAAACACCTGTTCTAAGATATCCTTAAAATACGCTGTTATGAGGATTATCCCCTTCAATATTCGGTATTTAATAGCTCCTTGTGTCTTATGACTTGAATGTTGTGATGTGCAAGTTACATGCTTCTGTAAGTTAATAATCTTGCTTGCCAAGTTAAATGCATCCAATTTATTTCCTAGAACTCTTTGAGATATTATCTGTGATTCTGCTGGATGAGGTAATATGTGCCTCAATGGCATCGGCTTTAGGTTTGCTCTACTAGTTATAGCTGTACCTGGTGTAAGTTCATACCTTTTATCGAGTAAATTTGAACGGTTTCCAGCCCCTTGAAGTTCAAATTATAAGCAGTTATTCTGTTTTATAGCTAGTCTCAATGGTTAATATAATCATTTTTGCCAAAAAGTCAACTAAGGCTGATGAATATTGACATCTGGATGATCTCACCATTTTTAGTTGATTTTATCGTATTTATATATCGGCACAACAATGTATTGTTATTGTTATCCTTTTCTAAAGGCTCATCCTTCCCATTAGGCTCTTATTTCAATCAAAAGATGGGAATTGCCTATTGTTCCCAAGTGCTGTTTTTAAGGGGAAATTGGCACACTGGTTTGGTCCAAGGCCAAAAATTATTAGACTAATAAATCCATGAATTGTGTATTTAAGTCGCATGTTCTGTTGTTGGCTCACGTAACTGCTTAACCACTGCATTCTAATCTCCCCCCTGTCCTTTACCTATGATCTGTATATTCTTCCCAATTATGGATATTGATTTGTGATAATGTATTGCACATCCGCTGCCTGCTGACAAGAGCTGTTACATTCTCCACTAGTGCATGAGCATTCTTAGTCATATTTATTGAGTAAGCATTACTGTTAGTCAGATATCAAATATTAGTCTATGTGGGAACTGATGAGGATATCGGACGACGTTTATTTATTTTATTTAAGCTTTATTTATTTTTTTGGACTATTATTTAAATTTGGACTTGTATGGGCTCGGGCTCAAGCTCATTAGGGTTGCTTTACTATTTAAACCTATTTTGCATTGTAACTTTCAGTTGATGATGAATGAATAATTATTTTAGTGGCTTATGGCGCATCCCTCTCCTTCTTTTATTGAATTCTTCTTCTATCCCCTCCCTTAATTTCCCATTCTTTCTGAATCTTTCTTTTATTTCTATTAATCATCCTTTTGGTGCTGCATCAAATTTGGTATCAGAGCCTAAACTTGGGTAATCTCTCATCTTCAATCCAAAAATCTCTTTCTATTTCTTTCCTAAGAACTTGTGGAACAACACAAATAAATAAACTTTTAGCATGAACAGCCAAGTTATTATTTTTCCAACTTCTTCATAGTTGTTCCAAAAAAAAAAAAAAAACTGTTCACGTTACTCTTCACAGGCGAAAATTTCAGTTTAGGTTTTTTCTGCAATTTTAGTTCACATCCCAACCCAAAAAAAAAAAAAAAAAAAAAA